ACGCTGCCAGATAAGATGAAATCCTACCAGCACTGCTCATAGACGCTACTTATAGGCGGATCCCTATGTTCTGTATAACTAGACCGTTTGAACCTATTTGCGAACAAGAACGCGTTCTACACAAACTGGGCCAATCAACCATCATACCTCTATCCAAAAAGACATAAAAGACTGTTCAACCCCAGGGTCATCGGCCTGATTCTTGTTGCGACGCGGCTACCTGCTTTAATCCTACGGTGATGCCCAACCCCAGGAAAGGCTAGAGCATCAAGCAGGTATTCGTCCAGGTGGGAGGTGCATTGATAACATCTTCAGATAAAATCACATTCGGGGAACAAAAAATGTGGTTTTCCTCTACTCCAAAGTAAGCTGAGATCCGGTAAATAGATCGCCTTTTCGAAATGTACTTGATCAAAGTGGAATGCACTTGAAGCTCATAAATGTGCCCGAAGCTCTCCATTCCGACCCATCTGAGGTCGAAAGAGTTAACAGGGAACTGTTCAACTACTGTTCAGCTACTGAAGCTGAGTAAAACAACTCTCACTCAATCGTTCCTTTCTGTCCAGCTATATCTTCGATATCATCATTAAATGCACTTTCAAAACTGCACCCAGAGAAACACTAATAGTCACTCGCCATTTATATATCCGATGCATATTTAGGCATGCATGTGAGCACGTATGATTCCTCTGGCAAAGAGGATTCATGTAACATGTCTCATTTAGCCCAAACGAAGTATTTCGGCTTCCATAGCTAGAGTATAACCCGAAGGTGAGTGCTAACTACGACCGGAATCCTTGAAGATGAGGATCTTTAATGGATTCCTTGAGTACTGTCCACGTAGATTGCGGGGCAGGACTAGTCATGGAATAAATAAATTAAATAGCTTTATTGACCTTTTTGGGTCATCTCAGCATGCAACATGTTCTTTTGAGAGTCCTTTGGTGCATAACAACTCAAACGGAATGATGCCTTGAACGGTATTTTTGAAACCTTGAATGTTCTAGATTGAATGAGAGCGTAACAGCTAACCTACAACGGGTGGATTTGATAGCCTTTCGTACATAGTAGGTAAACCAGTGTAAACTGACCAAAGACAGATAGAACGAGTCGATGAATCCCTGGATTTAAGAAGTTGATGTATTTCTACAACAGTAAGCCTTAATTTGGAACTAAGGTGGTGGTAACCCTGTCCATAACATCAGACGACCACGCTCACCCTCACCAGTAGACCGACTAAAACCTGGCTCACACTGTTGTCAAGGTAGGTACGCACGCAAGACCCAGAAGATTCTATGTGGCTTGCCGCTTGATTTCCTCGCATTAAGTTGACCATGTTTTGCTCAAATATACGGTGNAACATACCTAGTGATGAAACTGTTTCCATGCTGCCTATTTCGGGGGTTCGCCGTCTGAGCGCCTCATGAATGTATTCAGCGCGAAGTGGATCCAGCTGTGGCAAATCCTGTATACAAACCTCGTCAGCTAGCGCATTGCCAATCAATTCCACCGATGTGTCTTCATACGGGTTATTCACCACGAGCAGTTTTAACTGGCCGGTACTCTTCACACCTGGTTCGGTTGGTCTGTAGTATAGGTTAAACAGATACTCTCTACCCGGCCGAATCAGAATGCTGGCGGTGTACATTTGGATCGCTGAAGCCTCATGAGCTTGATTTAGTAGAAAAAATAAAGTGATTTAGATAGTGTAACGCCTTGCATAAGTTTGAGAAAACCACAAAAGTGTTAGTTCGATTAAGTTTCATACTTTTTAAGTCATATAGTTACCCTTCGTTCCAAGGGGGAGTTTGTTAATCAGTTATTGCTATTGTGCCTAGTTGCGAGAACACAAACCTGATATGATTATTCGGTGCTATATTGGAGCCTTTCGATTCACTTTTCTGTGGAATAAAACACAATCAAGTGTTGTGCTATCCTATACCAAATCATCAGACCCCGTTTTTCTCCATTCGCCTAGAGAATAGCCACTTGTTTACCACTTCCATGAGCGTTTTAACTTGAAATTAATTGTTCAAGATTTGAAAAGCACTGATAGGGCGGTGGGGCTAACGGAGAGATGGGGACGGAATTGAAGGCGGCAATTTTAATGGAACTGAGTTTCGAGTAGCCGGTATGCGCCCTAATAAGCATCGATCGAACTGTTCAAAAGGTGATCAGATATAAAAACAGCTAAAGATTAACTGGAACGAACCGAGGATTCGAAAGTAATCTTGACCTGGTGAACCAGGGCAAGTTATTAACAACCTTTACTAGGTCATTCGACACTCCGTATTTAAGTAGTATGGTTATTCCAACTTTTCTGCACAGCTTGCAGCATGGATATCTCGGGGGCTACGCTACTCAGAATGCAATAGTATTTTCTTGAGAAACACATATATGACCTTTCCAACACCACTGTCAAGTGTATCTCCCGGGAAGCCTTTGTCAGTCTCTTAGTAATTGTTCGTCCGGCCTAGGTTTTGCAACACAAAGTATCAGGTTTGTACTACTTACCGGCAGAAGGTAAGCAACTGTATTCCACTTCTGCAGAGCATCCTGGAAGCAGGGAATCTGGATCGATGAAAAGAAGAGCATCGTTTTCTTTTTCAGGTTCCAGGTAGAATACATGGTCCGCGTCCACCAAGGTCAGATTAACCTATAATCGACGAAATTCATTGAAGTAGAAATGAAAATAGCGCACATGAGATTCAGATGGACTTTAATCACTGAAACAGAGGTAGTTACAACATTTTTAGGCTACCAAAATCTTAAGTATAGGGAATAACATAGGGAAGATACAATAGAGCGAGTCCTGCGGAAAAAGGTTAGTAACATTTGATAGGGTATCCTACATTATATGTATGCATATATATATATATATATCACGCTGCCAGATAAGATGAAATCCTACCAGCACTGCTCATAGACGCTACTTATAGGCGGATCCCCATGTTCTGTATAAATAGACCGTTTGAA